CGATTTTAACAGAATGCGGAAATAGATTCTTTAAATTCGAAAGTCGAAAATTTGTCGATTGAGCTTGAAAAGGTTCGACAACGATCGTCGAATTTTGAGAGGTCTTATCAAGAGCAAGTTGTCATTGCACAAAGAGCTACAACAGAAAAAGATGACAGAGAAAGATATTATAGTGATTTGGTTGATAAATTAATGAATGAAGGGAAATCATTGAAAAAATTAAATGAATTATATGAAAAACGTCAAGAGGATGACACACAAGCTATTATGCGGTTAGAAAGTAAGAGGATTTTAATATATAATTTCATTATTTTTAATTTATATATTTTAACTGCGAACCCTATATTTGTGTGAATAGCCGAAGTTTCTACTGTTAAGACATCACTGGCTGAATCTAACGCACTGAGCAGTCAGGTGAAAAGTAGTTTACAGAATTACATCAAATATACATTTTAAAATTTTATAAGGTTTTAAACTTTGTGAATAATATATATATATTTATTTTAGTTAAATGAAGAGATACAAAATATGAAGGACGAAATTGTCAAACTCGAGGAGGAGAAGAAAGAGTTAACTCAATTATCTTCTATCGCATCAGCTTCTCCGGGAAGTGCCGTAGAAAAAGCATTACAGAAAAAGGGACAGTCCATCATTCAAATGGTATATCTCCTTAATCTGGCTTATGTATTTTGTTAATGAAGATGTTAGTAAATTTATTATATCTTTTTTACCTGAATTTCAGTATTCAGATTACACGAACATCCAAGAACAGCTTATTCTAGAGCAAAAAAAAACCCGCGAACTCTCTGAGGCGTTGACCACTTTCAAATTTGAACTCGAAAATTATGTAATGAGAAATTTCCTGATATTGGATTTTCTTTATAAATTATTAACTTTCCATATGACCTTTATAGGCTCCCCAAATTCAACAAAGAAATGAAGAATATAACCAACTACTAGAGGAAAATCATTATATTATGGAACAATTAAAACTAAGCCAAACCGAAATACAACGTCTTAGTCAAATAGTATGTGGAGTTGCAACTATTGAATGTCAAAATTTGGTGATATTTAATAACTTATTCCAATTATATTTAGAAAGAGAATGTTGAAGCAGAAAATACGGAATTGACTAATCGCAATGACAAATTACAGAATGGTAATTAATAGTATACCTATCATAATTGACAATGATTTTGTCCTTATCCACTTTTTTTCGCTTTTTATAGAAAAGGAAATGTATGTGGAGCATAACACATCTTTAATGCGACAAATTGAGGAACTTCGGAAGGGTGGTCCTAGTTCACCTGTGATTAGTGCTGCAGATGCTGATGGTGTTATACCACGTGACCTTGATGGATTGTATAGGCTCAGTTTTAATTTAAGATCCGAAAAAAATATTTTGTTAAAGAAAATCAAAACACTTGAAAGTGAAATAGGATCTTTACAAGAATTATTATCTCAGAAAGATTCCGAGAATAAGAATGCAGTTCAGGAGATTTCTCGCCTTCAACAAAATCAGAGACAATTACATGCACGATTGGAATCTCTTGAACAAGAAAAGCGATTATATCAAGAAAGAACACTACGTAGCAGTCTTAGTGATCAAGGCAGCCCCTCCAGATTATCCTCTTCGGTGTTTAATCTTTCCTCCAATATTCAATCAGATGAAAAACTCCAAGCCGAGTATCAAGACATAAAGGTAATGATATTACAGATGAGAATGTTATTCTCCTTCTCTAAATACTTAATTCACTTATTATGTATTTGTTCTCCAGAACCGTCTTGAGATCGCGTTAGGAGAGATTAAAGTTCGTGATGAAAACATTCAAAAGGCAAACTTAGAATTGACTGCGCTTCGATATGAGAAAACACAATTTTCTCTTGAAAGGAAGCACTGGGAAGGTAAGATCGAATCTTGCAAATTTTTTTTATAATTGTAAAAAATTCCTTAACATCATATTGTATTAATGTTTTTAGATCGATGTAAAGTTCTTCAGAGTCATTACGACATGAAAGAGGAGGAGGTTCAGAATATAAAGCAAATATTGCGTCAAACACAAAGATTAAATGAACAGATGGAGAAACAAATGATTAAGGTAGCAACAGATTGTTATGACGCTTTTTTGTTATTTTGTGTTGATAATGAATTCCAATTTTCTAAAAATTTCTTAGGACGAAGACAATAAATTGACCTTGAATTCTGAGCTCACAAATGTGAAGAATGAGCTTAACATTCGTCAAGCTAAATGGGAAGAAATACAAAATAACTTCAATAAGGAAATGGAAAATCTTTTGGCGGCCAAGGAAAAAGCGGAGTCTGTTGCGCGAGATTCTCAACAATTATCAGAAGAAAATAAACGCCTTGAACGTGAAATCACAGAGGTCAAAGAGAAAATGAT